AGGGCGGACACCAGCAATGACAGACCTGGGAGACAAATGAATAGAAACGCTGCATCCCCAGCGGAAAAGGGCGGACACCAGCAGCGACAGACCTGGGAGACAAATGAATAGAAATGCTACATGGCCAGCGGAAAAGGGTGGACACCAGCAGTGACAGACCTGGGAAACAAATGAATAGAAATGCTGCATGGCCAACGGAAAAGGGCGGACACCCGCAGTGACAGAATTGCTACATGGCCAATGGAAAAGCTGCATGGCCAACGGAAAAGGGCGGACACCCGCAGTGACAGACTGCTACATGGCCAATGGAAAAGGGCGGAGACAAATGAATAGAAATGCACATCTTAAGAAAGAATTGAGAACCCTTAATAGTAAACTGTTTGGGGAATTCAAATTCTACATGGCCAATGGAAAAGGGCGAACAGCAGCAGCGACAGACCTGGAAAACAAATGATCAGAAATGCTACATGGCCAGGGGCGACACCAGCAGTACATGGCCAGCGGAAAAGGGCGGACATCAGCAGTGACAGACCTGCGAGACAAATGAATAGAAATGCTGAAAAGGGCGGACACCAGCAGTGACACACCTGGGAGACAAATGAATAGAAATGCTACATGGCCAGCGGAAAAGGGCGGACACAAGCAGTGACGGCCCTGGGAGACAAATGAAATGCTACATGGCCAGCGGAAAAGGGCGGACACCAGCAGTGACAGACCTGGGAGACAAATGAATAGAAATGCGCATTGCCAGCGGAAAAGGGCGCGCAGCAGCAGTGACAGACCTGGGAGACAAATGAATAGAAATGCTACATGCCCAACAGAAAAGGGCGGACACGAGCAGTGACGGACCTGGGAGACACATGAATAGAAATGCTACATGGCCAGCGGAAAAAGGGCGGACACCAGCAGTGACAGACCTGGGAACAAACGAATAGAAACGCTGCATCCCCAGCGGAAAAGGGCGGACACCAGCAGCGACAGACCTGGGAGACAAATGAATAGAAATGCTACATGGCCAGCGGAAAAGAGGCCTGGGAGACATATGAATAGAAATGCTGCATGGCCAGCGGAAAAGGGCGGACACCAGCAGCGACAGAGCTGGGAGACAAATGAATAGAAATGCTACATGGCCAGCGGAAAAGGGCGGACACCAGCAGTGACACAAGGGCGGACACATCTTAAGAACGAATTGAGAACCCCTAACAGTAAACTGTTTGGGGAATGAATAGAAATGCTACATGGCCAGCGGAAAAAGGCGGACACCAGCAGTGACAGACCTGGGAGACAAATGAATAGAAATGCTACATGGCCAGCGGAAAGGGCGGACACCAGCAGTGACAGCGCTGGAAGACAAATGAATGGAAATGCCACATTGCCAGCGGAAAAGCGCGGACACCAGCAGTGACGGACCTGGGAGACAAATGAATAGAAATGCTACATGGCCAGCAGAAAAGGGCGGACACCAGCAGTGACAGACCTGGGAGACAAATGAATAGAAATGCTACATGGCCAGCGGAAAGGGCGGACACCAGCAGTGACAGACCTGGGAGACAAATGAATAGAAATGCTACATGGTCACCGAAAAAGGGCGGACACCAGCAGTGACCTGGGAGACAAATGAATAGAAATGCTACATGGCCAGCGGAAAAGGGCGGACACCAGCAGTGACAGACCTGGGAGACAAATGAATAGAAATGCTACATGGCCAGCGGAAAAGGGCGGACACCAGCAGTGACGCAAAGGGCGGACACATCTTAAGAAAGAATTGAGAACCCCTAACAGTAAACTGTTTGGGGAAAAACTTGAGAAAACCAAAAACAACCTAGGAAAACAAAAACTTTTCTGGGGAAGTCGTGAGGAAAGGGGGGTTCCAGCCAAGAGTCTCTGAGAATTGTTTATTTTTGTTTTCCCAAGGTGTTTTGTGTTTTTTCCTAGGTCGTTATTGGTTTTCCCAAGGTTCTGTTGATTTTTTTTGTTTTTTCTAAGCTTTTGTTTTCTTACTGCAAATTATTCTGTGTTTTTTTGTGGTTTTGATTGTATTTGTTTTTTGTGGTTTTGATTGTATTTGTTACAGAAAACCAAAACCCAGCCCCATGGCCACCCCTTCTGGATTGTTTAGGGGGTGGGATTAATAAGTTAACTTGGAGCCCTAGGACAAATATTTACAATTACTATATATATATATTGATCTGCTATTGCTGCCCCTACTACTGCTACTACTACCACGACGAAGACGACGACTACTACGCAACTATCACTACCATTCACTACCACTACGACTGCTACAGCTGCAACAACAACAACTACTACCATTGTGTTGAGCAATGGCAGCCATACATGACCAACCATCAAATATTTGTTTGTGAAAAAAACACGACAAACAACAAAAAACAAATGAACATGCAAACACAGCACAATTTGCTTTGTGTGTTTTTTCCCCCTGGTACATCCTGGTACCACTTCTGCACTTATGAGAACTTTTACCCGTCAGCAATATTTGTTGTACGCTCCTAGGAAAAGAGCGAAATTAAGCAAACAAATGCGAAACAATTGCGAACATAAAACAACAATGTGAAAATAAAGCGAACAAAAAGCAAAGCAAAAGCGACAAACACGCACAGCTACATATGTTTTCTTTTTTGTTTGCTTTACATTTTGTGTTTTTAAATGTGTTTTTTGCTTTCAAAGATTTATTAGGGCTCCTTGTATCTATGGCTGGCGTGCCCGACTCAAAACTATAACAACAACAACAACTACTACTACAACAACAACTACTAATACTAATACTACAACTACAACAACAACAACTACTACTACTACTACTACGCTACTAATTCTTCTGCTGCTACTACTACAACTACAACAACAACAACAACTACTACTACTCCTACTATACTACTCCTACTATACTACTACTACTACTATACTACTACTACTACTACTACTACTACTATACTACTACTACTATACTACTACTACTACTACTACTACGACTACTACTACTACTACTACTACTACTGTTGTTTCTTCACAGCCAAACTGCCAGTCCCTGCAGGGGTTCTAAAGCCCCTTTTGTGATGTTGTGGCATGAACCAGTTGAGTTTGCAGTTTTAATGCTTGAAACTAAACACAAACACTGAATCATGTGCGAGCAATCTCAGAAAATTGTTTCAAACATGCATCTTGATCTTGCCTGATGCAGCGGTTTGAGGATGCGTTCACAGACCTCCCAGCACAACTTCTGGCTCGAGGCTCTGGGTGTAAAAACCAGATTGTCAATCGAAATGTTCCCCCGGGCCTAAGAGCCATGGCTGGAGAAACACAGGAGTGGCCATAAAATTACAGATCTGATTATCATTTCATTGTGTCTCGGCACTTGAATGTATCAAAGTCTCTCCAACCTTCTCTTGCAACAGCATGGGGCCTGGGGTGTTGATAGCCTGCCATTCCAACAGAACATTCAGTACATGCAACTATGATTAAATATGCACACTTGCAGAAAAAGGACAGTTGCTTCTATATAGGTCTGCTTGAGACTTCTAGCGGCAAAAACATGCTGACTTTTGAATGAGACAAACACGGAGTGATCACCATGTCCGCCAATCGAAAGAACGAGTGCATTGTCACCTTGGCTTTGGAGCACCTGCATCCACCTTCTCCAGCAGAAGGCAGAATTCAAACATGTGCATGTCAGCAGTGTATGCTGGATGTAAAATCTAGTAACAGTGCATGAGGATGCTGAGTAAAGGCATTTCTCTAAAATGTGATAATTGTTTACTGACTGTTCCAGGCAATAGGACACACCCAATATATATATATAAATACATATGCCCGCAAAAAAATCATAGTGCAGGAAATGGGCTCCTATGAGCAGCAAATGTCAAGACGCGCCAGCACTGCACAGAAGCCAAGCGAAAGAAGAAGTGTCGCCCTCAGCCTGGTTTCCCGATTCTCCGACATGAAAATGCAAACATAGGATAATTTGGTGTGTACAGTAACTCTTGCTGTAAGAAACAATATGTTCCACTGCGCTGCAACGTTGTCTGAGCGATTCGCTGCTCTGCTGTCTGCGCTGCTGTACTCTTGCCAAACAGGTTCTGCAGGGAAGCGCCCCGACGGTTTGAATCTGCTTTCGCCTTGGAGAAGGTGAAAATCCATGCTCAAAGCAGCAGCCTTTCTTCATGTAGAAAAGGTTTAAAATCAACAGAGTGTTGTGAGTATGTGTGAAGCAACGCAATGACTTGAGGGGACGACAATAACATACCATCACCATATGGGTGAGGGAGTCTTGCTAGCCATTTTATAGAGATAAAATGGTGGGTCCAACACTTACAAGGATTTTTCATGCCTGACCTTTTTTGTATTCTCTATGTTTTGACTGTGGGTGACATCCTAAAATCACCCCCAAGTGTCCATCAAAGGTCCAAAAACGCTAGTACACAAGGCTTGCAAAAATGAGGAACTACATCAATACACTCCGTCAGTGAGAGAAGATTACCATCTTAAGAAAATAAGTTCGCTCTTTCAGGCTTGCTCTTTGGTCAATCATGTTTTCTGCCAACAGCGGTCAACCATCAACATCTCCCTGCAAGCTTGTTGTCAGTTTCAGTTTAGAATTGGAACACACTCCATGCATTGGCGGCTCAAATTTTAGAGCAAAGGAAGAAAAAGTTGATAGGATTGCTTGAACAGAATGTTATAATAGGTTGCTGTCAGGAAATGAAGTGCTACAAGTTAGTAAACAAAATAACATCCGTGTAATAGCAGCAGTAAGTTTGGGAAGCTTGGAGTAATTAGAAATGCTCCAAGGCACCTACAGGTGCTTTGATGGAGTTGGGGTTGAAGTCCTTTGAAAAGCCAGGAGGAATCTGAAGAACACAGACAGACAAACCAGAGCCATGCAAAAACCCAAATTCTCTAAGAAACTCAACTCCTGAGTTTCCCTAAGAAGGTCTCATGAAACGTTTTATGGGAGTACCCAACTCCCCGACTCCCCCCATTTTATAGAGGATATAGAGGATATGAGGTTGGGTATACAATAACCAATGTTATTGTCGGCTCTTCTCTGTGAACGAAACTTGCTGAAAGCACCGGATCTGTGGCCCTCACGCCTTTGGCAATGGCTGTTAGAGTGACCTCCAAGTGTCGAGACCTCACGTCTTGATTTGTCCGAAAGGGGCGATTGATCGTTTAAAGGAGGGAGCGGATAGGCTGAGGCTGAGGTAGGAGGTAGTAGTAGCTAGGTAGAGGTAGCTAGCTAGTAGCTAGGGAGTCGCTAGTAGGTACAAGTTAGCTACTACATATGGACGCAGGATAGCTCACGCTTCCTTGAAGAAGCGCTCGCACTAATGATTTGGTTCCTAGATTCAATTTGCTATAAATCTATGTATACTGTATCCTATGACCAGCAAAACTGCGATCAAGTCGAAGACAAAAGGAACAAACGCTTGGCTCCAACTTGGGCTACCCTGCGCGCAAAACCCCAGTCCGCGAGCAAAGGCCTACTTCGTCAGTGATTTTGTTGGATCTGAACAGTGTCGGACCGAGAGTCCTGAAATTAATTGGACCGCTGAGGCTAAGGCCTTTAGGATATAAGGTAAAACACATGTCTACAAAATGATTTGGACATCATCAAGCAACACACACAAAAAAAACACCCGTCTGAGGCTTCAAATTCTAGCAAACACCTACCACCCAATTCTATCCTGGCACCTGATCTGATAGGCTCTTAAACAAATACACAACAGAATGCTATGCTTTCCTTCTGATCGGAATGCTGTCTGCACGAACAGCTCCTGATCTGAGGCAGAAAACAATGTTGTTAGCTTGACATGCTTCTGGCTGGCATGCTGCATCAAAATCAATCGGTTGAAAACAACATTTACCATTTCAATCCATGTCAAAACAACTTTTAAAACCAACAAATTAAGCAAACAGGTTTTGGCATTTCATTAGTAAGATCTCCGACCCAAAGTATCATATTTTCTCTCAATTGGCAACAGGCACCAAAAAGAAGGACCAAATAGTGATTTCTGATTTTCACTCATTGGCTCTGTTCTTCGTCATTGCTTCCTACTGGTTGGTATTTACACATCGGTTTGCAGTGCTTGGTGAGTGTCCAAATGACATTCCAATGAGAAATGGGCTGCAACCTGCGCAACCCAGCAGGGCTGGAAGTTGGTTGAAGCTTGTCATCCGACGTCCATGAAAGCTGGGAACCCACACACGGCGGGAAGCGCGGCCTAGCTCCGCTGCATGACCCACCCTGAGCGCTGATTGGCTGAATCAAAACCTCAGGCCAAACCTTTGTCACTTCTCCCCGCTCATATGAAGGTTTTTGCGGGGATATGTGGGACATGTGTGTAAGAAATTGAACTCATGTTTTGACCTATCGCATAATTATATAAACTGTATACAGTTGTATGTGCAAGTTGTTCATGGCACGCTCCGCCTGTTGGGCTACAAGTATGATGAAGTGACACGTGCGTCTTGGATTTGACACTTGTTTGCTCACAAGTCACACCTGATCACACATGCCCGACTGGATTTACTATCTCCATCAAAACAAAGTGATCAATACGGGTATAGATACGGTAGATACAAGTAATACGGGAACGGATGTCAAGAACCTGCACAAATGGGATGCAAGCTCCAAGTCTGACCAAAGCTCCTCAAACAGCACCCTGCGTGACATGTGCATCTTGCGCGTGTGCTCTGATGCAACTGGCCCATGTGTGCCAACACATGCGTGCAATCTCGTGCGATGTAATGACACCTCAATGACATCTGTGTCATCACAAAATTTATATAGGTCTCAGGTCTTTACTGGTGCCATATTACTTGTTTTGCACTTCCAGCTTGGTCATCAGCTCGGGCAGTATGTTGGTGTGCAATTGGAGCTGCTATTCAAGCCATTGAATGTCGGCACGTGCTTTGCACTGACCAAGTTGGTTTCCTTTGTTGATGTTGGCTGCAATCACCATCTTGTGACACAATTACGCTTAGGACCTAGTCCCGAAACACATTTGTGAAGCTGGATCCTATTGCGTTCAACTGCAGCACGGCCAGGTTGCATGGAAACCTAGTGCAACAAGCCTTGCACAACTGCTGTGCGGCTGATATTTCTGGACACTCTTTTCTTTTAGGCGATGTAATTAATATTAATTATATAATCGGAAGGTAGGCAAGTTGGCCTCGAAACGTAGATAAGCAGTTTGATATGAGCAGTGGACAAAATTACTTGTGTAGCCAAATACCATTTGACATGATTATCGTTTTTGGTGGGGTCCATATCGTTCTCCAATGTTTCTCCAAACTGCAGTTAGCATAGCATACCGGCACACAAACTAAAACATAACATATAACTCACAACCTCAGATTAGAGTCTTAGAGGCTTACATTGCTTTCTGCACAGGAATGGCACAGCACTTGATTTATGCACTTGGGTTCTTGTGGCACTGGTCTGTGCAAGGATCACAACACATAAGCGGGGACCTAGTAGCTCGGCCCATGAACAAACACTAGTCACTAGTAATGTGGAGAAGTAGGTCTACGGAGTGACTGGCGCGACATTTAGGTTATCGTTTGCTTATCGTTTGGATTATCGTTTGGGAAGTTGTCTGGGGTTATCATTGGTGAAAAGTTGTGCTCATCGGTTTAGCTCAAACATGCTCAAATAAACATGCAAATGCAAATGCAATAACATATTGTAACCACAAACGTCTTTGTACCCACTACAGTACGTCTTAACAAGATTATCGTTTTTGGTGGGGACCATATCGTTTTCCACAGAAACGAAGCCCTCAACATAGGTTTAGGGTCATGCCGTGACTAAATAAGTCAACCAATAATTTTGTCCGTCGCTCATATGACATAGATAGGATTCAATACAATGTTTCTGCGACAGGCGCAAAGAGATCGTCATTACATTGACCCTCTCCGCAATCAACTAAGGTGTGACAAATGGAGCAAAACATAGCGAAAAGACTGCACGCACTTCTGAGGCTGCCTGACTGCTATGGCCCTTTTGGGCCCTACAAATTGTAACGAGCTAGCAAAGTTGAAAAAGCGGTCGCTCCAGTGCAACACAAGCCGATCAAGAAAGAAACGACCTCAGAAAACATCGTTGAGGACCCAAGCAGCAACTCCAAGGCGGCAGTGGCTCTTTGTACGTTGCCTGGAAGACCAATGATCTTTGCATTTTGCATTCCACACGATAGACTCTCATCTGTCAAGAAGATCTCCAGAATCTATGGGGACTCTGAGTACACTGTAGAGTGGCGTCGCCCAAGAAGCTCAAACCCAGCTCAGCCATCAAGCTGCAATGTTAAATGGCAGATTTTCTGCAAGAGTTCATAAGACTAGCTTTCTCTAACTAACGACGTAGAGACTTGGACTCGCAGGATCCAATCTGGTTGAACCAGCCAGACCTGAATGTCCCAAGCAAACACCTGGCAAAGAACAACGTGACGACGCAAGTACCGACAGCTTGTGTTGCTCACTGTTGCTTACTCAACAGCTTGGCTTGTGTCATTGCTCACTTTGATATACCAACTTGAGAAACAAAAGAAACAAAACAAGCAAAGCTTTGTGAAAGAAATGAAAAAAGAAGGTGGGCCTGGGCTCCTTTGACAAGGTCCCTTTAAGGGGCTCATACCCAAGTCCACCATGTTTTTCTTATCTTACCAGATTTTGAGCATCCATAAATATAAGCATCAGCATGCGTCATCTGCCTGTGAGGTTGAAGATCCCAGCTCGCTGTGCATCAGTCAAATCACTCTGCCCTGACAGTGCTAGAGCATGTTGGGAAAAGAAAAAAGCCTGAGGTGTTCTTTGAGCATATTTATATAGTTAATTATATAATGTTAATTATGATTAACATGATTAGGGCCAATATCAGACACGTCATTAAATGAGAGGTCGGCGCAGCTCACGGCAAACGCGAGTCCGCAGGCAAAGCGTAACAAGTCTTCTAAGGTTTGATGCCATGAATGCCGCACCAAATGATAGCCAGTGGTGGCCCAGCCTACTAAGGTCCTCTGTTTTGGAGTGGTATGAACATCGGCTGCAACAAAACTTCTCTCCACATGTCCTAGTCCCGTATGTGGGTGCGGACTTGGACTTGAAACTGTCATAGTGAATGCCAAAACACCTTGTCTTTTTAATTTAGGCCGGGGGAGGTAGGAAGAGGTAGCAAGTAGCTATTGAGTAGGATGCTTCTAGGACGCAGGATAGCTCACGCTCGCACTAATGATTTGGTTCCTAGATTTTAGGGAAACCTAAAGTTGCGGACACTAATCTGCAGACATGCAAGCGAACATGCAGTTGATGCCTCCTCCAACGTCCCATGCCCGCGGCAACGGGCTGTCGCGCTCTTTCTTGACCTCTCAAGCTGAATTGATGACAACACAACAAGATGCTGTCGGAAGATGTTGGAAGTGCTTGCCCCCCCCACAGCCCAATGATGGCACCCAACTCACTCGAGGGCATGAGGAAGTATTTGTCCCCCAGCAATGTCTACTAATGATTGATACTGTACAACAAAAAGCAAAAGCATGAGCTTCGATTCGTGGCCTCCAATTGCACGGTGTACTGAAACATTCGGAACTCAAGAATCAATTACTCCAGGAACCTCATATTATTCTGCAACATGCATTCTTTCGAACACAAAACACATGAGTACGGTATGTATATGAGCATGTCATGAAGTCTTCTGCCTGGAACGCTTCTGCAATGCAACGGCTGTGCTTGCAATGTTTACTGTAGTTTGCAAATGACCTTGCTGCATGTCGTATTCGGCCTCTGAACAACCCTTAGGACGAGTCAATGCAAGAACCATACCGTTTCTTCTGCTCACAGCTTTCCCGTTCCCGCTGCCTTCTCCAAGAATCCGCACAGGATTTCAATAAACTTTTCGGGTAACTCCTGGCAACTGATGATATCTAGAGAATGAAACCCAATGCTTGGAACATGACTCATTAAAAAGTGCTGTAGCGAATGCAGGGCGGACGCACGGTAGCCCTGGTAGCGCATGGTAGCTCCCAGCTTACTTGCACGTCATCCACTAACTCTCACTTGCTCAATTGCGGCTTCAACAACAATTTTTGGCATTACAATATCTGAATTACCCCAAATCCCCAAACTCTTTGTGATGCGAAGGCAAGGCCACCAAAGAGAGATCCAAGGATTCATTGTCGAATCAACAGTTACAACGGACCTGGCCACAGAAGGGGTGGTTCACTTACCTGTCTGTAAATCACGGAGCAACAGCACATATGTTTTTCAAGCCTCTGAAAATGCCGGAGTTGCACTACCAAGTCTTTCCCAATTTCTTTGGCAATGCAGCAATGCAAAAACATCATCAACTGAACAAACCGAATGACCCCAAAAATATATTTGTTGTTTTTCAACCCGACCCACCCAACACAATATCGTGAGAACAAGTCACTGGATCAAGTGGCTTGAAGGGTGCCAACAAAAGCGAAGAAAGGCTGAGCACCACAGCACGACGTGTTTTCTTGCAAGTCTCAGGTCGATAAACTATGCCCGAGTTTCATCATGGTCTGGCAGTGCTGAGAGGAAAAAATCAATTTCTTGGGCCATAGCCGAGACCTTAGGCAGGAAGCCGCGAGAAGGAGCAATATACATATGAGGAGCAATATATATTTTTTTATGGTGAGTATATACATTAAAAATACTTAAACATACAGTATTGATGGTGCCATCGTGCAGCACTGACTGGGCTCTGTCCTCTTCACGGAATAGGTTGCAAATGTCTGCATTATAGTTTGGGAAGTTTACTTGTTGGTACTTGCTGCGCCCCTTGCATTGGAGGATCTGTAAAAAACTCCAACTCAAGTGCCCACGCGCGTATGCAAACGCAATGCGTATGTATGTATGCTTAAACTGCTGCAATTACAAGCGGCTGAACTAGTCTGACTTTCTACCTTCACTCAAGAAGAATCCAGCAAGGGGCTAGCGGCCCATTTCTCGACGCTAGCCAACTAAGCTAGAGAAATGGGTGGATGAGCCTGTGGACGCACAGACTTGTACCTGCTTGAGAACGCACAGGCCCCAATGTTCTTTTTCAGGCAGTTTCAGGTATGACAGGTCAGTTGCTCCAGTTGCTTCCCGCGAGTGTTGCATGGATTCCAGACGGCGTCGCTGTGTTCAAAAACTGCCTGTGGGATGTGGACTCAGGAGGTTCTTGCCTTTACCAACATTATACAACTCTTCCCAGTGTGAATGGGGTGCATGGCAGACATGGTGGCCGTCGAGCACCTGCGGGTGACTCTAGAGTTGGCAGGGGCCTTCCCCGTAGTAGTTGCGGCGGATTCACCGAACCCAACTCACCATGAGTGGTGATCAAAGTTGCCTCGCGCATAAACTCGCTGTTCCAAGGAGCCGTTCACGAGCTTGCTTCGAGCGCAGTTGTCCCGACGGCAGTTAGCTGAAGAGGGCAGCAGTTCTGTCGGGAGAATTCTATTAGCCCCTTCCTCCAGGACCCTACGTTGTCCTCACCTTACTAATATCGTAAAGGAGTTCTCTAGGTGGTTGTTCTTCCTGTGAGAATTGGCCTCTACCGGTTCAAATTTGGACTAGACTGCCTTTCATAGTCCTGCGCTGCCTTCGACTGTTACACACGTGTGGATTGTTGTCAGTCTTGCGCATCTTGTGCACTCACTTTCATTCATTGACATGGCCGGCTCTAGCGTCGTTGTTGGTATCTTTGAATGCCATTGGTCTCGTTTTACACTTCGACAACTTGTCATCTACGGAGACTGTGTAACAACATGCAGTAGGTCACATGTCCCACGTTCTTTCATTAACTTTTCTGTCAACGTTACCAGAGTTGCAGTTTCATATGTTGAATCCCACTGATTGTCGCAATCATGTCCGAGCCATCTCCTCCGGGCGCATTCCCCAAAGCCCATCCACCACGACCATCCTGGGCCTGGGATCGTCCAGCTTCAGCGTCGGACCATTAGCGACGATGGGAACAGCGCAAACGCAACCTTCTGATACCATGACTTAGAAGTATCAAGGTGCGATGGGAAATTTCGCCAAAACGCGGCAAGACTGTCCTGGCACTTCAGGATACATTGCAGCCAGGAACACAGTCAGGAACCTGTTCAGAGATACCGCGCTGACCCTACAGCGGCACCGCCTTCAGGTGATGTCTCCTCTTTGATGACTGAGGTTCAGCATCAGCTTGATGACGCTGTAACTGCAGTCGTCCAGGTTCTTCCGGAATCATAGTTTTTCAGTTACTGAGTAGCACACAACGCACTTGTTGTTGCATCAGATGACTCCATGCGCGTACACTGAATACTTGCTCACAAATAAGTACCCGCAACTTTGGGCCCTTGACGTTGTTCCGCAGCGACCTTTGGGTAGACTAGTTCACCAGACCACCCTGACCCTGACAGCTTCCTCTCGACCCTCAGATCCTCGAATGGGCTTTGAATATGAGGAATTGCTCACGATCAAACGGGCGTTAGAATCCACACCCAGGTTACCATCAGCCTTGGAATGCGGCACGGTCACGAAACAAGGACAACATTTCGTCACCGATTCAACCTTCTACACAGCTGCTCTAGGATGGCAATTGGAGCCTAGTCTCTCTCTCGAGCTAGCGGACCATTGGCCCAGTACATACTTGATCAAGTATATGAACCAGCAAGCACTTTGTTTGTGCGTTCTTTGGACAGAGCAGCATCCACACTAGCCAAAATCTTGAATTGCCACAACGACATCCAGGACTTCTTTGAACA